ATTTGCTTTTCTGTGACTTTTCAACTTTTTTTCTTAATTAGTTTAAGTCTCTAATTATTACCTTTGTCTGGCTAATTAGCAAAACAAATGGTTTAAACAAAGAAATCCATTCGATTTTTTAATTAAAGGCCAGACGTTATTCAGATTCTTTTGATTTTAATGTGTTAACTTTTAATTCACTTTAGTTAATGAATTAAGTGAAATTAATTCCTACATTGTAATCAATAATTTCACCTTTCTATTCTTCTTAACTAGATTTAGTGCTCCATTTTCACTACAAATAAATTGCTTTTTAACTGAGTAACACCTTTTCCTCTTGTTTGCACAGTTACAATAGGCACGGAAGAAAAATAAACCAATTGACTTTAAAGGATAAAAAATTTCTTTGAAGAAGTAACAACTTTTATAGTACACCTACCAGGTACTATTTGAGTCCAACAAATAATTGGTTAAACAAAGGACCTCTGTCATAATGTGCAAATATTGTGTGCAATTTTCATGACACTCCTATAAGGTAGATGCTATTGTTATTACCTAGTTTTTTTTTTTAAACTTACAGCAGATTAGAAGCAGTAATTTAGAACAGCTGTTTGAGATTAAAGTATGTGAGGAGAACCCTTAGGATAAAATGTAATGTTTTCTGTTAATAGTTAATCACAGGAGGGATAGATAGAGAAAAAAAAATCATAAATCACGTTATACAGATAATAAAAAAGTTTATAAATAATGACCAACTAGGTCATCAAAAAAAGTTTAAAATCTGTTCAAGCCCGTCATTTAAAGAAAACTTTTTAACATATTTTAAAAAATCATATTCAATAAATGGTTTGAGCCTTGAAGTCACAAAGTCATTAACAGGAAAAATACTTTTAGCTTTGTTCAACATAGCTATATAAATAAAAATTTCTTTGTAATAAAGTGGCTTGTGTTTAAGAATTTCAAAATTATCAAGTTAAATTCTGAAAGTCATGTGACTTTTTGTCACGTGGCAAGCACATAGGTGTCCCATGTCACCTGGAATTCTGTTCATAATTACCTGAGGATACATTTGGAGGGAGACGGTTCACCTGCCTAAAATAGAAACATGAAATAATTAGCACATAAAATAGTATATCATGGTCTGGTGAATTCTGAGCACAGAAGAACAGGCTCTAATTTTACATTGTGGAAAATACTTTCAGAAACTGTGTGCAGAGCCAAGAGGTGAATATCGCCTGGGACGAACAGGAGAAAATTCGGAAGGGATTTGCGTTCAGTAGCTTCAGATCCCTGCCTTGAAAGGCCGGGTTATTGTATTTCATTTTCTTAAAGTAGATCTTGATCCAATCAGCTGAAAATCGCTAACAACATGACTTCAGCTTCGAGTAGAGGACTGCTATGTGGCCGTGATTCAGTATGACTCCCGTCTAACTAACAAATCCACATTTTTGGCTCACGTATTTAACTCGTTTTGCTTTCTTACGAACATGCTCATCAGCATGTTCCCAAGTAAATCATCATTAATATAAAGACATCCATTACATGTGAGCTTGATGAAGCACAAGTGAAAATTATGTGCCCTCAGTGGACTGAATTCTAAAACCTTGCCTTGGTTGCAATGCTGAAACAGGATATTTAGGTGATATTGAAGCCGGTGGCAAGGGGAACAAAGTTAGATCTCCTTCGAGTGTATTTCCCCTGCAACCTAAATCCGATAGAAGTTAGGGAACATTCTCTGCTGAACCCCAGCTGAGCAGAGAATCTCATAAGATCTGCTGTTTTGAATGTGTCCCTTGAAGCTCATGTGTTGCAATAAAGGGGTGTTGGCAGGCGGGGGCCCAGTGGGAGGGGTTTGGATGGGGCGGGGGGCACAGTTTCCATGAACGTACACCTGCCGCTGTTGCAGGAGTGGGCTTGTGATCACAGGGGCGGGTTGTGTACAAAAGGACAAGGTCAGCCCCTCCTTGCTCTCTCTCAGAACCCTCTCTCTGCCCTTCTGCCACGAGAGGATGCAGTCATAAGGCCACCGCCATGCGCCGTGCCCTTGGACCTCCCAGCCTCCCGAACCGTGAGCCAAGAGACATCTGTTCTTTACAAAGAACGAGGACAGAAAATCAAAAGAGAGACCTTAGCGTCGTCCGTGGTTTCTGAGAAGCTGCAGTGAAATTTCATCGCCAGGACTCAAGATGTCCTAGTCCGTGTGAATGAAGGCAACGATGGCATCTAGACCTCGGGGCTGCCTGGGGCTTCCCTGCTGTCCCACTGTCCTCCTCCCAGTGAGAAAGGAAGAGAAAGAGCTCTTGGTTGTGTTTGAAAAGAAACACACCTACATCCTGTTCTGATACGGGTGGAGACCAACCAGTATTCTTCTTGGCATTATGTGCAAATATTAAATACTGTCTCCAAAGCAGCCTTCTAAGATAGATAATATTATTGTCTCGTGCTTCAGATGGGGAAAAGGAGAACCTGAGTTTAGGAAATTTGTTCAAGGTTATACCTTTGAGCAATGGGAGAGTGGATTTAAACCATGTCTCAATGTTCTGAGCCAATGTTCTTTTTAACCATTAACCGTATTGCCTCCCTAATGTGCTTGAAAGTGTCTATGTTAGCACTCGATAAAAATGATTAAATTGATAAAAAATGAATAAAAATTGGTTATGATTGCATATCATCTAAATTCCCAAAGGACAAAAGAGATTTTTATGCCACAGCAGACTTTTCCATCTTTAGCATGTTTTTTTTTTTTTCTTCTTCTTCCTAGCAGTGCCAACAAAAGCTTGCTTAATTTAATACTTGTCAGGGCCATATGCTGACAGGGTGGTTTTTCTCTCTTTCACCAAACACAGAGACCATGCATTTAAGAATTACATGAGAATCTGCAATTATTCTTCCAGAATGACCTTTCCTCTGCTCCCAGACAGAGCCAGTAAAACCCTGCTGGAATATGGAATGTTAAATGAAAATAAGATGTCGTCTCAGCGCCAGGGTTCCTGTTCCTCCTGCTCCCAGCTGTCCTGAGCCAGGCGGGGTTTCTCAGCCCCGAGGACAGACTGAACGGTGAAAGCACAGTTGTGCATCACGCGGTCCCCGTTTGTGGCGCGGATGAGTGAAACTGTCATCATGTAGGAGCTGCAAAGTGAAGCACACTCATCAACGATACCCACTGGTGACGCGCCGGCCGCACGGCGGACTCATACCCACAGTCGCAGGATGCAAGACCCTAACCACTTTTTCCTCCGACTGAAAACAATAAATAGTTCAAGGTGCCGAGGCTATCTCCTGAGGTTTATGAACATGTACGTATTTTTGCTCGTTTCTCGCCAGTAAACTTTTCAATCACCCAATACCTGAAAACTATCCAGGTGCCAATGGCTTAAAAGGAAAAATTTCAAAACAAAGCCAAGTATTGTTCCTTCAATCATTACATGGAAAAAAAAAAAAAAAAGACATTTGTTTTCGATCTTGATGAGTCCACTTTTTAAGACAGAATGTGTAACTTAAGTAGTACTAAATTCTTCACCATCCTGGTAAACCTTTCTAAATTCCACCCCCATCCTCAGGGTCTAAGCCTGGTTCCACTCTGCACGAAGCCCTTGCTGTGGAACTGAATCCATAACTACGTCTCTTTCCTTGGTGATCCAAACATGCTTCATGGCACTCAGTGATGTTTTAGGCATCAGTCCTGTGCATTAGCGTCCTATCTATTGCAGCAGGAAGGGTGCAAACTAAATGCATATCAACTCATAAAACCTTTCAACAGGCCGGACATGGTGGCTCACGCCTGTAATCCTAGCACTCTGAGAGGCTGAAGCGGGAGGATCACTCAAGGTCAGGAGTTCGAAACCAGCCTGAGCAAGAGAGAGATCCCATCTCTACTATAAATAGAAAGAAATTAATTGTCCAACTAAAAATATGTAGAAAAAATTAGCTGGGCATAGTGGTGCACACTTGTAGTCCCAGCTACTTGGGAGGCTAAGGCAGGAGGATCGCTTGAGCCCAGGAGTTTGAGGTTGCTGTGAGCTAGGCTGACGCCACGACACTCTAGCCCGGGCAACAGAGTGAGACTCTGTCTCAAAACAAAAAACAAAACAGAAAATAATAATAATAATAAACCTTTCAACAGTCTTCCTAGTAGTACTAATTGTTGCATGGCCTAGCGTCTACATCTGGGCACTGTAGGGTTGTGGTGCCACATTGGAGCAAAGATATCTAAAATATGAACTGAATTGTACCTCCCATAGATAACTTAAAAATTGGACTGTATCGCCCAGAAAATGCATTTCTAATGTATTCTAACACAGTTTCTCTTATTATTATATTAATAGATTCTCTTTTTAGACTCCATGGATGAGGCAAAATAAAAAGAAGGGATCTTCCAATATATATTGATACTTTATAGGCTAAGAAGGAGTCTGGTGTTTTCAGGACACTGTAATGCTTCACTGTTTGACCCCCGTCCCTGAGCCCAGCCTCACTTGTAGATAAGCACAGCAAACAGGGACCTGGTGTTGCCCTTAGGGAGTGAGTGGAGTTGGCCAGTCCCCATAGGGGCCACGTGTCATATCGTTTTCACTGCCCTCTGCTCGCTCATACACTTAAGCTTCATTCGCTTTCTTTGGGAGAATGTCTCGAAGGATATTAACTTGTGTCTTGTTCCCCTCCCTAAAAGGTAAGCTATTTCATAATCCTTGCAAAGTCAGCTAATTGCTTCCAGGAGGAATTCAGGGGTTGGCGTTGCAATTTCCTCTAAAGGAAACACCCCCGTTCGGAACCTGTGCGAGGTGCCTCCTCCTTTCTTAATAGCCCAACTCACACGTGACAGACAAGCAATAATGTGGCCGTCCACCTCCAAGAAAGAAAGCAGAGCTGAATATCTTTCCAACTTTATACATGAGTTTTAGAAGCCCTACGGGCAAATGTCACTGAAGTAAAGAAAGAAAAGTTGGTAGATGGAGTGTTTGGATTTTATTGATGAATAAATGTTTAACTTTGCTACAGTCAGAGGTCTACACCCAGGCCCACGTGACTGAAGGATCCGGAAGCCCTGTTGCTGTCTCCTCTTGCTGTGCCGAATGCATGCCAGGGCCAGGGAGAGGTGAGCCACTAAAATGAGATAATTCTCCAGGTCGAAAGGGAGCAAGCAGGACTGAGAAAATTCAGAACAGGCTGGGACAGGCCGTTCTGTGTTAGGACAGGGCATGGTATCGGAGCGTGGGAAACCCGCGGTTCTCCGGGGTGAGCCGGGCAGGCCGGGGTGGGTCACGCTGACTCAGAGGGGCCCCTCAGACACAGGCTGGCGCAGGGCCCAGGGGCTGAGAACGTATGAAAAAGACAGGGATGGGTGGAGGCCAACAGTCAGGAAAGGTTTCTGGTCAATAACACTTTTTTCTTGGCTGTGAAAGGGGGAAACGATTTGGGTAGGAAATGAGCAGAGAGGTGATTTCAAAGCAAGAGACACAAATAATTCAAGGTTAGCGTGAACAGTGGGCACGACCATAACTCAAAACACAGCAACACCTTTCTCTGCCAGGCGAGGGTCGAGCAGTTTCAAAGTTGTGCCCTATCAGAAGATGCCGAAAAAAAAAAAAAAAACAATGTGTATCCTTAATTTTTTTTTTTATTCATTAGGAGAGGTGCATTAACAAACTGCATCTTTGATTATTCCATTCCCAGGAATGTCTTGGAATGACATTCAAAAAAAAAAAATGACTTCAAATTACAAGTTCCATACTACGTATTTGAAATCCATTTTCAAAATTCTTTTAAAAGTAATTACAGGAAATTATCTGCCTTTGCATCTTGCCGGCTGACACATCGTATAAATCATTCAATGTGTCACTTCTGATAAAGCCCATGTAATCGCATTACATGACAGGAACTGCCCGTCATAAATAGACATGATAACCTGATTTGGGAAACTCAGACAAATACAGTTTCTCTTAAACTTTAGTCTAAAGGCACTGGCAAAATTCTGCAGTGCATTGGCATCTTGGTATGACTTTGAAGAATACCTGTAACATTTCCTTCTTTTAAAACTAATTTCGGTTTCATACTTTAGACATAAGCCCATAAAAGTGTGTAATATAAAATATTTATAGCAAACGTTAAACAAAGAGAATGATATAATTATTTGGCTCAATTTTTACTTGGCTCTACTCATTAGAGTCTTTGTGAAGTGCAGGATATATCTTGGGTTTCTTCCCTTGGCAGAAAGCTGGGGTTTGCCAATGGAATCATATTTGGAAAACCAGTGGCATTTAATATAGAGAAGGAAGATGAACTAAGAATTGTGTCTACATGGCTGTGGCTGCTGAACTTTTAATTTCTAAGCAACACAAACACCACAAATGCAAGAAACTGTGCTTTTTGGACCACAGAGGATGTTGTTAGGAGAACTCAGTGACTGAGGGCAGAGTGGGATTGGCATCCTTAGTGCCCGGTGCTGGCCCCCCCTGGCCCCTGAGCATGGGTGATACTGACCTGGGGTGTTGGACAGGCTTGGGGCAGCTCAGTTCTGACTGTTGTCCTGGGTTGAGATCACACACAAAACATAAAATGAGATTAGTTACCTGTAAAATTTACCTGAGGTTAGCTTCTCACACGTCTGAAGAGGAAAGATTTAGCTTTGAAAACTCTAATAAAATGTACTGATATAAATAATCACAAAACTGGCAGTCTAAGGAATGGCATCCACGTAACTGGTGAAATATTTAACTAATGAAAAGAGGGGCCGGTGTCACGGGAACTAGAAAAGGAAGAATTAGTGAGGGAAAATCATTGTAGTGTTTGTACAACCACCCCAGAGAGGGAGCTAAGAAATCCAGCAGACCTGGTTGTTCCCGACCACAAGGGAGGCGTTCTATGTCTATTTGTAGCCTAGGGAAAGTTTGTCTCTAGAGCATGCACGCCCTACCATCATTCAACATCACGTTGCGATTGTTGTAAATGCAATAAGACAAGAAAAATTAAATGCAAATGCTAGAAAGAAGATATTCTAAATCTACATCTCTTTTTATAAGACATTCCCCTCCTGATACCCTGACGGAGCCCAACCCTCGCCCCACTATAGTTTATTGATCGGGTGTATTGGATGTCTTCCTCAGGAGTGGCCACCCACAGCCTGATGAGCAGCATGGAATTTATGTGGCTCGGTTCACAAAATGAATGGCCGATCATATTTGCTTCTCAGGAAAACAGAGCTGAGTTTGTTCACTAAGGGAAGAGGGTGACGGTGAAGTGGGAGGAGCTAGGAAGGAGAGACAGCATGGAAACACCCTTCCCAGCAAGCTGCCCTCATTCAATGCTTCCTACTTTCCATGGGAAATATTTTTACTTGGCTTCCAGTCGTTAGATTCCTATGAGATCTTTCTGTAGTCTTTTAATAGTTGATAATCAGTCTCTGTTTCTTGAAGCTAAAAGAGCCCTGAAAATCCAGGGTAGATAAAGATAATATAAAATTTTCAGCGATTACTGGGTGCACATTGCGTGACAAATGCTTTGCCTATGTTGACCCATTTGCCCTTACGACAACCCAAGGTGCAAGTATTATCGGCACCAGTTAACAGGAGGACAAGTTCTACATCAAAATAAACGTCAATTGCTTATGATCACAGAGCAATGGGAGTGAGGATTCAAACACAGGTGTTCTGACTCTACAAGGCTGCATCTTCGCAGGTGCAGATGGGACAAGCTACCTCGAGGGCCAAAGAGAGCAAATCAGAAAACTATTAAAACTACTGCAGTTCCATGATTCCAAGACGTAATTAAATTTAAATATTTAAAATCATTTTAATAATAGGAATTTATAGAAAAAAATAAAACACAAATAACTTTAAACTCCTCTTCCCCTAAGTGCTAATAACAATTTTTTTCATCCATGCAATTATGTACTGCCTTTCTCTGCAAGGCATAATAATCAATATTGAGTGTAAGTGATCTTCATTTCACAGTCTGGAGATTCTTCTGAATGATGTTCGGTCTTTAGCAATGATTCGTATCTTCCTGGGGACTTGTTGGCTTTGGTAACCTGCAGTCTTAACCTTTGAGGTTGACAGTATAATTTCAAGAACCATAGAAAAGTTTGGAGTTTGTCTATACTTCTAGTTTGATCAAAGTAGTAGATTTATCTAATTCTCTTAATTAAATTGTGTAAGGACAAAAGTTAACTTTTTCCTGGAAAAGATATATGGAAACTTTAGACAGACACAGTCTGCCATAATCCATGCATCTGTTACAACCACCTCTCTGAATTTAACAATGGTATGATCTATTGGAGGTATATAAAAATCAGTAAGTACCACATCAAATGGGTATGTAGAAGCACTATCTGTACATACAATAAATTTTTATCTCCATGTTTTATTATGCATAATCATTTTATAGACGAGTGACAATGTTCCATCCAAATTTAATTTAAATTTCAACTGTATCCAGTGCTACCCATGCAACTACCTCTCGTGACAGCCAAATGAACTGATAGCTTCTAAGCCCAGATGAAAGTGAAGTCCCAGCCATGGCAGGTCTGACAGGACCTACCTCCTCCAATGACAGCTCTAGGGAGCATATTGTTTCTGACATGGGTTATAAACCATGCCTTGATTTCAGAGACACTAAAATGTGAAGAAATTGTGCATTTAAAAATGACAAAAATAGTGATTTGAGAGTACGGTAAGGTAGCCAGTTGCAAAATAAATATAGAAAATTCAATGTTTTTCCTATATGTCAGGAATAAAAAAAAATCATTATATTTTCCTTTGGTGGGGATGTAAGAAATGTTTGAAAAAGATTATACTATTATAATGTTTATGCTATTATAGCAATAGCCTCATGATCACAAAAATACCTTGCGGTAAACTGTTATGAGTGGCCACACTCAGATCTATTTCTTTTCAATTCTGAAGTTCAAGCAAATTTCCCATCATTGCGTTGTTTCAATAAAGTATTTTATCTCAGAGAAAGTTACCAGTAGAAGTTTTTCCAAAAATGAATAAAAGACTCTATTACTTGCTAGAAATGTTATTATTTTTTAACTTGGTTGAAACTTTTCGCCATTGTAGGAAAAAAATTTAAAATATATATAATTTTAGTTCGATATTTTTTAAACCCTTCTATGAAACATGGTCAAGCTATTAGAATTTTCAAAGACCGTAAACCAGAAACAAAAGCCAAGGAAGAACTTTTTACATGTTTCTGTCCTAAAAATAAGAAGGGTTCCAGTTCCAGTTTAAAACATGATCTGAATTGGTTTTTCCTCCTTTAATCTCCATGGCTAAATGTAACCAAGGCAACGAAAACACCACCATATGGCACGTATCCAGTGAAAATGCAGTCTTTAAGTGAAGATAGTGCATATGTATAAAAACACAGAAAACTGATGAAGTGATGAAAAAAAAAAAAAACCTCTCTTAAATTAAATTAAAGAAGTTCTAGGGATTGCCTGCACTTTTTCCTTCCAGTGTGAATGAGGAATCCCATGAAACCCTTGATGTTGGCACCGTTGATTTTTCCACATTTTATGCCTCAATTTCAGTCCATTCTCAAAATGTGGAACGACTGAATTACATATTTACCGACTGGGTTTGAAAGCAAAACTATGTAAAAGAAAAACACCGTTGAATGAGGAATCTGATAAGCAAGAGACATCATAAATGGAGGGTTTCCAGGGAGACGCAAATGTTGTCACTGTCGTATCTCCATGCCAGTGGGTCACTGCAAATCTTATCCAGGTCAAACCGTGGGCAGCATTTCCTCTTTCTCACCCTGCTTATTGCTACTTTGGGCAATTACTAGCGTGAGTCTGTAACTTCCTGTAGGACTTCGGACTCACCTCAGCCGGAACATCAGCATCACCTCTAAAGATAAATTAAAAGGAAGGGTCCCCCTTGCCGTGGTTTGAATCCAATCTGCAGGGGACAGGTGTCCACGGTATGAACGCAACACTGCTCCCCCGATAACCTCTGGGGAGGATTTCTGAGGCGGCTGCTGTGCCACGCGCCAAGACCTCTTTCCAGGTAACCACTTCATGCAACTAATCAGTTTTACTGTTTACACACAGGAATTTACATGTCTCCCAGGATAAAAGCAAGAGCCATTTATTCATTTGGTAAACATATATGCAGCACCTACTGTATACAGCAGTGCTTGTGCACGAGACTCTTAGGATGGCGTCAGAGAACAGGATGTACGAAGATCTCTGCTCGCGTGGAACGGGCTTTCTGGCAAGGCAGAAACGGAAAACGATCGATAAACCTAATAAGCAAGTCAATGGTCCAGTGTGTTAGAAGGTGGTAAGTGTTAAGGCAAAAAAAAAAAAACAGAAAAAAGAGAGAGGAAGGAGGGAACGCAGGAAGGTAGGAGCGTGGTGGCGTAGGGAGGTTGCAACGCACAGATAGCGTCCTAAGGGTGGAGCTGCCGCCTCTTAAAAACACGACCTCCTCCAGAGGAACCGTCCAGACACTGAATTCCACGCGATGCAAAATTAAAATTCTGGCTCTATGCGACTCCCTTCGCCCAACTTGTGCATCCTCCCGCGGGGAAATTCTGACGTCATTATCGTTGCACAGACAGGCAGAGAGGAGCGAGGTCTATGCAACCCCCCCAGGGAGCTGCTCTGTCGTCGTAATGTCCTTCCTGTGATGCAACTTAAGGTTTATGTCACCGGAAGACAATAGAAATTCACGCAATATACCTCGGTATGTTGAGGGGAAAAAAAAAATATGATGGCAAAGGGAGGGAAGATCATGTGAGAGGTTTTTTAGGTTTCTGATAAGGCTGAATTTTCACACTGAGCCTCCACTTAAAGACTCGCTCCTTTGCATTTTGGAGAAAACAAAATAAGATTAACCCATTTCTTTCACAGGTTGGACCAGAGTCAGGAATTCTCTTGCTTGGGACGTGGCGGTACGATGGTTTAATTCCCCAGGTTGGGGAATTAGGATGAAGGGAAGTGGTACAAGGAGAAATTACAGTGTGTTAAATATGCCACCTTCCTCCCTGGCATCTGAGATGGCCCTTGTGTCAGCTGACACCCCGTCTTGGCCACGTCCTCTCCATGCTTGTTTGTTTGTTTGTTTGTTTTTGAGATAGAGTCTCACTCTGTTGCCCAGGCTAGAGTGAGCGCCTTGGCGTCAGCCTCGCTCACAGCAACCTCCAACTCCTGGGCTCAAGCGATCCTCCTGCCTCAGCCTCCCGAGTAGCTGGGACCACAGGCATGCGCCACCATGCCCGGCTAATTGTTTCTATATGTATTAGTTGGCCAATTAATTTTCTTTCTATTTTTAGTAGAGACGGGAGTCTCGCTCTTGCTCAGCCTGGTTTTGAACTCCTGACCTTTAGCAATCCTCCCACCTCGGCCTCCCAGAGTGCTAGGATCACAGGCGTGAGCCACCGTGCCCGGCCCTCTCCAAGCCTGTGACCCACACGTACACCCCACAGTGCTGAATTGTGTACTTTGCTTTGTGTCATCTTTGTAATGTGAGGGACCCGCTCTGCCACACCAATTACTTGGAAAGGTGCCGGTGCCATTTC